AATCCGTGTCTGTGGCAGGACGCCGAGGGCGAAGAACACGAGCAGTGTGCCAAAAACTTGAAAGAGATCTCGGCGAAGGTCGAGCAATCTGACACTATCCCAAGCAAAGAGGAGATTTGTGGGTTGGTTTGTCTGGGTAAGGGTTACAGAACCTGGAAGTAATGAGTGCGTTTGTAGCGTCTTGACTGGTGTAAGGGTTTGTGTGCAATCAGGTGTCACAGCTAACTGCAAAAACCAAAAAACTAGGAATGCCGTTATCGGGTTTTTTGATGCCGCAGTGGCTCCTTGTAAGCAGATCCCGCTGGACGCTTTGACTTCCCCGGACAAGACTTTGACTTCCATCACGAACAATTTCCTCTAAATACATTCAGTTGTTTTTATTTCACGCTATTTTATAGAGGTGTTAAGCCAAGAATTTTTTGTGACGACATTTCCAGTGAAAACATCGAAGATAAACTAATTTCAAATTTATCTTTCGTTGTGTTTTTGGAATTCCACACAACATAGTAATTAAGTACTTTTTAATAGGAATTTAAGTGTAATGTAACAAGTAATAAAAATTGGTCTAAAGAGTTTAGACAGTACTTCCCTCGCTGTCGGAAACTTGACGACTGCATGCCTATTGTGTTTTTTTTCTCATTACATTTTTGTAGTGCGAATTTAAAAAAAAATTGCGATGACGTCATCAACATTTTTGCAAGGACACGTATATCAGTTGGGATAGATGTTGTGTAATACTAAGAATAAAATTATTATATTCTCAAATTTTCGGGAAAATGAATTGGATCGTTTTGAATATTGATTTGTAATAATCAATAAAATAACGAAACAATTTACTCACGTATACGTATCAGAGGCAACTGAAAATCGTGTATGTATAAACATTCTTAATTTAAGATGACAGGCGTAACAGCATACGTGAGAGTCAAACAGAGAAAGTGTAAACAAAACGACCATCGGTTTTATTGCTTCGACTTCCGCTTATTATATAAAACATTGGGTTTTATTTTAATTCTTGACGGTGAAATTCACAATTGGTTGATTATAAACATGTCTATTTCACATTCGCGGAACCAAATGAACGCATAAAACAAATGCAGGTCTGTAATGTTAAAGTCGATGTAAATAAGCGTGCTACCCATATGTTTCAACCGAGTTTTTCCTTTAACAAATTTTGTGTCTACCAAATTGGGTTGGTTGGGGTGTAATACTAATAATAAGTGTTGCCTTTAATTTAATCAATAAAATAAATTGACTTCATTAATTTTTTTGAACCACCTCTTCAGAAAATCTAAAAAATATGAATGGAATGATAAATCACAAGTACAAACTCATCATATTTTTTGCATTTTAGATAGGATTTATTCAGCAAAATTTAAGGGTGACGTCATCAATTTTTTTAGGAGGGATGAACAAATACATTTTGAACAAAAGTTTACCATGCTTATAATAACTTTAAAATATTCCCAAGATTTCAAAGCATTCGGTTTTGTCATTACTGATTAAATCGATAAAATAAATTCACGCCTTCATTAATTTTTTTGAGTCACCCTGCATATGCAAATCCAAAAATATGAATGGAATGATAAATCACAAGTACAGACTCATCATATTTTGTACATTTTAGATACGATTTATTCGGAAAACTTTTGAGCTGACGTCATCAGTTTTTTGTAGAAGATAACCAAATATATTTTGACTAAAAATTTATTATGCTCTTTATAACCTTAAAACATCTGCAAGATTTCAAAGCATTCGGTTTTGTAGTTCCTGATTAAATCAATAAAATAAATTTACGCATTCATTAATTTTTTTGAGTCACCCTGTATATGCAAATCGAAAAAATTTGAATGGAATGATAAATCACAAGAAGAGACTCACCATATTTTGTACATTTTAGATAGGATTTATTCAGCAAAATTTTGTGGTGACGTCATAAATTTTTTAGGGGGGGACGACCAAATACGTTTTGATCAAAAATTTACCATGCTTATGATAATTTTAAAATATCTTCAAGATTTCGAAGCATTCGGTTTTGTAGTTCCTGATTAAATCGATAAAATAAATTCACGCCTTCATTAATTTTTTTGAGTCACCCTGCATATGCAAATCCAAAAATATGAATGGAATGATAAATCACAAGTACAGACTCATCATATTTTGTACATTTTAGATACGATTTATTCGGCAAACTTTTGAGCTGACGTCATCAGTTTTTTGTAGAAGATAACCAAATATATTTTGACTAAAAATTTATTATGCTCTTTATAACCTTAAAACATCTGCAAGATTTCAAAGCATTCGGTTTTGTAGTTCCTGATTAAATCAATAAAATAAATTTACGCATTCATTAATTTTTTTGAGTCACCCTGTATATGCAAATCGAAAAAATTTGAATGGAATGATAAATCACAAGAAGAGACTGACCATATTTTGTACATTTTAGATAGGATTTATTCAGCAAAATTTTGTGGTGACGTCATAAATTTTTTAGGGGGGACGACCAAATACGTTTTGATCAAAAATTTACCATGCTTATGATAATTTTAAAATATCTTCAAGATTTCGAAGCATTCGGTTTTGTAGTTCCTGAGTAAATCAGTAAAATAAATTTACGCTTTCATTTATTTTCTTGAATCACCCTGTATATGCAAATCCAAAAAATATGAATGGAGTGATAGATCACAAGTACAGACTGATCATATTTTGTACATTTTAGATATGATTTATTCGGCAAATTTTCGAGCTGACGTCATCAAGTTTTTGGAGGGGATAAGCAAATATATTTTGACTAAACATTTATTATGCTCTTTATAACCTTAAAACATGTGCAAGATGTCAGAGCATTCCGTTTTGTAGTTCCTGATTAAATCAATAAAATATATTTACGCATTCATTAATTTTTTTGAGTCACTCTGTATATGCAAATCCAAAAAATATGAATGGAGTGATAAATGACAAGTACAGGCTCATCATATTTTGTACATTTTAGATATGATTTATTCGGCAAACTTTCGAACTGACGTCATCAAGTTTTTGGAGGGGATAAGCAAATATATTTTGACTAAACATTTATTATGCTCTTTATGACCTTAAAACATCTGCAAGATTTCAGAGCATTCGGTTTTGTAGTTCCTGATTAAATCAATAAAATATATTTACGCATTCATTAATTTTTTTGAGTCACCATGTATATACAAATCCAAAAAATATGAATGGAGTGATAGATCACAAGTACAGACTCATCATATTTTGTACATTTTAGATATGATTTATTCCACAAACTTTTGAGCTGACGTCATCAAGTTTTTGGAGGGGACAAGCAAATATTTTTTGACTAAAGATTTATGATGCTCTTTATATCCTTAAAACATCTGCAACATTTCAAAGCATTCTGGTTAGCAGATTAAAAATTAAATTTCAAAATGTTGTTTTATAATTTTGATTTTTTTTCCAAAAATCTGGACGTTTCGGGTGAAAAGTCGATTCAGAGTTGTAAACTACATGTGTAGGACTATGTTATTTTATACAATTGAAAACCCATTTACTATGTACAATTTTGAAGTGACGTCATCGCATTTGTGGTGGGGATGATTAGACAAATTTTGGTTAGCGTTTTACCATCTACATGATATTCTTAATATATGTACAAAATTTCACAACAATCGGTCGAGTACTTTCGGAGATTATCTGTCTAATAAAAATCCGGGACGGCAGACGGACAGACAGACGGACGGACGGACGGACAGACAGACGGAAATGGGAGACCTATTTCTTCGTCTTCTAGGGGTCATGAAAGATCGAGAAAACGTAAAAGTAGAGAGTCGGCCGACGGACTCGATTACAATACTTCCTTTGCTTACGCTCGGGAAGTAAAAAATTTGCGATTTTTGAAGCACTTCAAATTCTTGAAAAAGTTTAGTTTAATTTCTTTCAGTTTGACAATGAGGACCAGTGATAACAAAAGCAAACATCCAAATCGTTATCGAACACCAAATAAAAGAATACACCCACAAAATATGTCCAAAATGTGACACATTCCTAATTACTAGTGATAAATAACTGGTCTATATAAGATAGAAACACTAAATTTAAATGTATAACTAAAAGTCCGACTTGTAAAGAACGAGCAACATGAATGCAACAATTTTAACGTTAACGACTTTATTTGTGGGTGAGTTATTTTGACCATTTTGACTTTCTCTCATTTCTTGTATTTAACACATTGTAGTAACAATTTTCGCCCACAACAACCCCGAAACATCCTACAGGAACGCAATTAAGGACTTATCCATAAAGTACTACCACGCAGAAAAGAAACAATTTTTCGCATCCTACTCAGAAAAATTCAACAAACAATGTCCCGGACTCACCGAAAAATTCAACCAAGCTGATAAAATTTTTGATGAATGCGTCGACAAAATCAGCGCCAATTTAACCATTTGTGAAACGGCAAGAAGATTTCTTTTGAAATGTACGCAACCGTACATCAAAATAGCAAACGATTGTTTACCTGAAGACACGAAAGGACTTCCTGATTTATTAGTCAAGATTGTCCATTCAGGGAACGACTATTTGTGTAAACAAGACGGGGAAAGTCTTCTTGGTGAGACTGTTGTTGTTTTAGCACTTTTATTGAATGTGAGTTTTAGAATTGGTTAATCCATGTGTGTGGGCAAACCTGGACGGTCCAGAGAGAAAATCGTGCCGTGAAAAAAGCACCATGATTCTCGCAAAATATTTGGAAAAAATACCTTCCACGAAAGAATTTTGCGGGTGAGTTTTGGAAAAGATTTGGAATTGTGGTTATATTTTTGGGTTTTAGGGATATCAAAGGGTTGAGGGGTTGTTCTGAGACGTTGGTGGATAAGTGTGGAAGTCCGGTCACTAGACGTGTTCATGTTGGTCTTTATGAAGCTTTGGTGTCACCCTGTAGCTAGTTTTAAAACATTAATTCTGATAAATTATCAAAAGGTCAAAATATACAAAAAGCAAATCGCAGTCGATAAGTTGAACTGTTAGTAATTGTACATAAAAATGAGCAAAATTGAGTGTCTATTATTTGTTACATTGATACGTATGTGTAGATTTTTTATATTTTTTACGTCTTCGAAAATTCCTTCTGTTGTAGTTATTTTTACCTATGAACTATGTCAAGCAAAAATAAAACATCTGAATAAGTACAAGAGCCACTTCAATTTACGAAACTATCACTCCAGAACAAAAATTGAATATTTTGCACCCATTTTGGAACGACTACAGGACGAATGTCCCCGATTTTCCGAAAAATTTGACGTAAAACTTAACCAGATCGACAGAATTGTCTCAAATATCACTTTTAGAACGCTGAAGTACGATATGAAGAATGCGTTGGAAGAACTTTATCTGATGGGAGTACACTTGTGTGCAACAAACTCGAAACGATGATATTAAATTGTACACAACATGTTTACAGCAAGATTGTAGACGACTGTGTTGGGGAAAGAGCTAAAGGCGTGTTCTCACTAGTGCTTCAAGCGTTTGCTTCAGTCGTTGACTATTTGTGTAAACTAACGGGAGAAATCCTACTAGGTACGATATATATTTTAGTTAGTTGTTAAAGTTTGACAGGACAAGCTTTATTATATTTTTTATTTCTTGTAGAATTAGATAGATCATGTTTGTGGAAGGATCTAGAAGAGGAACACGAATCGCTAACTCGGTGCAGAAAAATAATAAAAGAGAAAACTCTATGGTATACAGAGCATGGATTTAATACTACCGGCATATGCAGGTAAAATATAACCTGTTTCTGCTGGTATTAACAATTAATAAAATATCTCTTTGTGTAGAGACCTGTCCAACTTGAAGGACTGCCTCAAGACGCGTCTAACAATAAACTGTAAATGTAACACGACTCAAGAATTTTTTCTTGGTTTGTATGACGCCGGCATCGCTCCCTGTAGAAGCGTCTTAAATAATTAATATTGTACACAATTGTGCTATTTTAATTAAAGCTATAACATATATAATAATAGCTAATTTATATTTTTTTGATACTGATATTTGGATTTCCCCATTTTCCAAATTTACGATATTTTAATTTTTCAATTTTTCGATTTTTCGGTCCTTCAATATTTTTTAATTTTTCATGTTTTGACGTTTCTGAATTTTCAGTTTTCCGATTTCTCAATTAATCTATTTTTTCATTTTTTCGTTTCTAAACTTCCCAAAGTTTCGATTTCTCTGTTCTTCAGTTCTTCAGTTTTCCGATTTTTCAGTTTTCGATTTTGCTTTGTTGTTTTCAGTTCTTCTATACTTCAATTTTTCAATTTTCGGAATTTTTAAATTTTTGATTTTCCAATTTATTTTTAAATGTTCCGATTTTCCAATTTTTCGATGTTTTGACATATAAATGCCAAAATCGAAAAACTGAAAATTAAAAAAATAAAAATGAAAAAATCCAGAAGTCGAAGAATCAAACTATTGAAAATTCCCAAAACTGAAAGAAATATCCAAAAATTGAGAAATTAAAAATTGAATAATTGAGAAATCGAAAAACCAAAAAAACAAAGTCGAAAAATAGACGAATTGAAATATCGAAACTTTGAGAAGTCGGGAAATGGGAAAATCAAAAATAGATTAATTGAAGAACTGAAAAACCAAAAAATCGAGAAATCAAAAAATTTTAAATCTAAAACATTGGACAGTAACATATCGCAAAATTCAAAAATCGAAAACCTGAAAAGCCCAAAAGTCAAAAATCGAGCAACCGAAAAATCCAAAAATCGAAACATCGAAAAATTCAAAACCTGAGACATCAAAAAATCGAAAAACCAGAGGATCGAGAAATCGAGAGTCGAAAGCCGAAAAGAAGAGTTAATAATTGAAAAATTGATAGATCGAGAAATTGAACAATCAAAACATCGAATCATCTGTATTGGATAAATCGAGAAAGCAAAATATGGAAAAATCGAAAAACTTTAAAAAAGAAAAATCGAAAATAAAAAATAGAAGAATTCAATATTGAAAATCTGAAAAATTGAGAAATCGAAATATAAAATAGTCGAAAAATTGAAAAATCTACAGTTTAAAAAACGAAAAACTGAAAATCCAAAAAATAAAAAATCGAAAAATCCAGAAGTCGAAAAAGCCAAAAGTCGAAGAATCAAAATATTGAACACTCCCAAAACTTAAAGAAATATAATTAAAAATTTGGAAAATTGAGAAATCGAAAAACCAAGAAAGCAAAGTCGAAAAATAGAAGAATTGAAATATCCAAATTTTGAGAAGTCAAGAAATGGGGAAATCAAAAATAGATTAATTGAGAAATCGGAAGACTAAAAATTTAGCGCGTCAAAGTTTGAAAAAATGAAAAATAGAAATGCTGAAGAACTGAAAAATTAAAAAATCGACGAATCTAAAAATTTAAAATTTAAAATATTCGACAATGAAAATATCGCAAAATTGAAAAATCGAGAAATACAAACAACAAAAAATAAAAATTTAAAAATACAAAAGTCAAAAATCGAAAAACTGAAAAACCCAAAATTCAAAAATCGAGAAACCGAAAAATCCAAAAATCGAAACATCGAAAAATTCAAAAACTGAGACATCGAGAAATCGAAAAACCAGAGGATCGAGAAATCGAGGAGTCGAAAGCCGAGAAGAAAAGTTGATAATTGAAAAATTGATAAATCGAGAAATTGAACGATCAAAACATCGAATCATTTGAATTCGATAAATCGAGAAATAAAAAATTGAAAAATCGAAAAATTTTTAAAAACAAAAATTGGAGAATCGAAAATTTAAAAATTCGAAAAATTGAAAAATTGAAACATGGAAAAGTTGAAAAAATAAAATAGTCGAAAAATTTAAAAATTTAAGATTTAACGGACAATTGAAAAGCCAAAAAATAAAAAATCGAAAAGTCGAAGAATCGAAATATTGAAAAATCAGAGACCTGAAAGAAATATCCAAAAATTGAGAAATTAAAAAATTGTAATATGTATTTAGAAATCGAAAAATCAAAAAAACAAAGTCGAAAAATCGAAAAATAGAAAAATTGAATTAAAAAATCGAATCTTTGAGAAGTTGAGAAATGAGAAAATCAAAAATAGATTAATCGCCGAAAACTGAAAATTTAGCTACTTCAAAATTTGAAAAATTGAAAAATATGTAGAAATGCTGAAGAACTGAAAAATCAAAAAATCGAGAACTCAAAAAATCTAAAATTTACAACATTGAACAATTAAAATATTACAAAATTAAAAAATCGAAAAATCCAAACATCAAAAAATAAAAATTCGAAAATTTAAAATTTAAAAATCGAAAAACTGAAAAATCGAGAAATCAAAACCCTAGAATTAAAAGAATCGAAAAATTGGAAAACCGGATAACTGAAAAATCGAAACATCGAGAAATCGAAAAACTATAGGAGTCGAAAGCTGAGAAGAAAAATTAATAATTTGAAAATAGAGAAATTGAACAATCAAAACATCGAAACATCTGAATTCGGTAAATTAAGACATAAAAAAATTGAAAAATCGAAACATTTTATAAAATAAAAATTGGAAAACCGGAAATTTAAAAATTCGGAAAATTGAAAAATTGAGAAATCCCAAAACTGAAAGAAAATTCCAAAAATTGGGAAATTAAAAAATTGGAAAATTGAGAAATCGAAAAACCAAAAAAGCACAGTCGAAAAATCGAAGAATTGAAGAATAGAAAACTCGAAACTTTGAGAAGTCGAGAAATGGAAAAATCAAAAATAGAGTAATTAAGAAATCGGAAAACTGAAAGTTTGGCAACGTCAAAATTTGAAAAATTGAAAAATATGTAGAAACTCTGAAGAACTGAAAAATCAAAAAATCGAGAAATCTAAAAATCTAAAATTTACAACATTGAACAATTAAAATATTACAAAATTAAAAAATCGAGAAATTCAAACATCAAAAAATAAAAATTCGAAAATACAAAATTCAAAAATAGAAAAACTGAAATATCGACAAATCGAGAAATCGAAACCCCAGAATTTAAAAAATTGAGAAATTGGATAACTGAAAAATCGAAAGATCGAAAAACTGGAAAATCGTATAATTGAAAAGCTCAAAAGTCAAAAATCTAAAAACCGAAATATCCAAAAATCGCAATATCGAAAAATTCAAAAACTGAGACATCGAGAAATTGAAAAACCAGAGGAGTCGAAAGCTGAGAAAAAAAGTTAATAATTTGAAAACATCGAAACATATGAATTCGGTAAATTGAGACATGAAAAAATTGAAAAACCGAAAAATTTTACTCCTATAAAGGAAAAATTTCAAAATCTAAAATTTAAAAATTCGGAAAATTGAAAAATTGAGAAATCGAAATCTAAAAGAGTCGAAAAATTGAAATATCCAAAGTTTAAAAATCGAACAAAAAGAAAAATCCAAAAAATAAAAAACCTAAAAATTCAGAAGTCGAAAAATCGATAAAAATCGAACAATCGAAATATTGAAAAATCCCAAAACTGAAAGAAAATTCCAAAAATTGAGAAATTAAAAATTGGAAAATTGAGAAATCAAAAAACCAAAAAAGCAAAGTCGAAACATCGAAGAATTGAGGAATTGAAAAATCGAAACTTTGAGAAGTCGAGAAATGGAAAAAAACAGAGAGAACCAAAACACCAGAATTTAAAAAATGGGATAACTGAAAAATCGAAACAGCGAAAAATTGAAAAATCTATTAATTGAAAAGCCCAAAAGTCAAAAATCGAAAAACCGAGAAATCCTAATGTTGAAATATCGAAAAATTTTAGAAATGAGCCATCGAGAAATCGAAAAACCAGAGGATCGAGAAATCGAGGAGTTGAAAGCGGAGAAGAAAACTTAATAATTGAAAAATTTATAAATCGATAAATTGAAAAGTCGAAATATTTGAAAAAAAAATTAGAAAAAACGAAAATTTAAAAATTCGGAAAATTGAAAAATTGAAATATAGAACTGAAAACTCGAGGAATCGAAAAACCTAGAATTTTGAAAATTGAAAAATTAATTAATCGAAAAGTTGAAGAAATAATTCAGTCGAAAAATTGAAAAATTCGAACAATTGAAAAGCCAAAAAATAAAAAATCGAAAAATCCAGAAGTTGAAAAATCGGAAGGCCGAAGAATCAGATTGTTGAAAAATCCCAAACCTGAAAGAAATATGCAAAAATTGAGAAATTAAAACATTGGAAAATCGAGAAATCGAAAAACCAAAAAAGCAAGTCGAGAAATGAGGAAATTAAAAATACATTAATTGAGAAATCGGAAAACTGAAAATTTAGCAACGTCAAAGTTTGAAAAATTGAAAAATAGAAATGCTGAAGAACTGAAAAATCTAAAATTTAAAACATTGCACAATTAAAATATCGCAAAATTAAAAAATCGACAAATCCAAACATCAAAAAATAAAAATTCGAAAATAAAAAATTCAAAAATCGAAAAACTGAAAAATTGACAAATCGAGAAATCGAAACCTCAGCATTTAAAAAATTGAAAATTTGAAAAATCGGATAACTGAAAAACCGAAACATCGAAAAATTGGAAAATCGAAAAATTGAAAAGCTCAAAAGTCAAAAATCCAAAAAATGAAAAATCCAAAAATCAAAACATCGAAAAATTCAAAAAATGAGACATCGAGATATCGAAAGAAAAGTTAATAACTGAAAAATTGATAAATCGAGAAACTCAAAAATCGAAATATTTGAAAAAGAAAACTCGAGAAATCGAAAAATCCAGAATTTTAAAAATTGAAAATTAAAACATAGAAAAGTGGAAACACTGAGAAATCGAAGTAATAAAACAGTCAAGAAATTGAAAGATCTAAGGTTTAACGAACAATTGATAAGCCAAAAAGTAAAAAATCGGAAAATCAAAAAAGCAAAGTCGAAAAATCCAAAAATTGAATAATTGAAGACGTGAAAAATCGAAACTTTGGAAAGTCGAAAAATGGGAAAATAAAACAAAGATTACTTCAGAAATCGGAAAACTGA